GAAGGATGGAGGGCATTTATCTTGAAGGGAAGGAAGGAGGGCATTTATCTTGAAGGGAAGGACGGCATTTATCTTGAAGGGAAGGAAGGAGGGCATTTATCTTGAAGGGAAGGACGGCATTTATCTTGAAGGAAGGAAGGAGGGCATTTATCTTGAAGGGAAGGAAGGAGGGCATTTATCTTGAAGGGAAGGAAGGAGGGCATTTATCTTGAAGGGAAGGAAGGAGGGCATTTATCTTGAAGGGAAGGAAGGAGGGCATTTATCTTGAAGGGAAGGAAGGAGGGCATTTATCTTGAAGGGAAGGATGGAGGGCATTTATCTTGAAGGGAAGGAAGGAGGGCATTTATCTTGAAGGGAAGGATGGAGGGCATTTTATCTTGAAGGGAAGGGTGGAGGACATTTATCTTGAAGGGAAGGAAGGAGGGCATTTATCTTGAAGGGAAGGAAGGAGGGCATTTATCTTGAAGGGAAGGAAGGAGGGCATTTATCTTGAAGGGAAGGAAGGAGGGCATTTATCTTGAAGGGAAGGAAGGAGGGCATTTATCTTGAAGGGAAGGAAGGAGGGCATTTATCTTGAAGGGAAGGATGGAGGGCATTTATCTTGAAGGGAAGGGTGGAGGGCAATTTATCTTGAAGGGAAGGTGGAGGGCATTTATCTTGAAGGAAAGGAAGGAGGGCATTTATCTTGAAGGGATGGAAGGAGGGCATTTATCTTGAAGGGAAGGAAGGAGGGCATTTATCTTGAAGGGAAGGAAGGAGAGCATTTATCTTGAAGGGAAGGAAGGAGGGCATTTATCTTGAAGGGAAGAGAAGGAGAGCATTTATCTTGAAGGGAAGGAAGGAGGGCATTTATCTTGAAGGGAAGGAAGGAGGGCATTTATCTTGAAGGGAAGGAAGGAGGGCATTTATCTTGAAGGGAAGGAAGGAGGGCATTTATCTTGAAGGGAAGGAAGGAGGGCATTTATCTTGAAGGGAAGGAAGGAGGGCATTTATCTTGAAGGGAAGGAAGGAGGGCATTTATCTTGAAGGGAAGGAAGGAGGGCATTTATCTTGAAGGGAAGGAAGGAGAGCATTTTATCTTGAAGGGAAGGAAGGAGAGCATTTATCTTGAAGGGAAGGAAGGAGGGCATTTATCTTGAAGGGAAGGAAGGAGGGCATTTATCTTGAAGGGAAGGAAGGAGGGCATTTATCTTGAAGGGAAGGAAGGAGAGCATTTATCTTGAAGGGAAGGAAGGAGGGCATTTATCTTGAAGGGAAGGAAGGAGAGCATTTATCTTGAAGGGAAGGAAGGAGGGCATTTATCTTGAAGGGAAGGAAGGAGGGCATTTATCTTGAAGGGAAGGAAGGAGGGCATTTATCTTGAAGGGAAGGATGGATGGCATTTATCATGACGGGAAGGGTGGAGGGCATTTATCTTGAAGGGAAGGAAGGAGGGCATTTATCTTGAAGGGAAGGAAGGAGGGCATTTATCTTGAAGGGAAGGAAGGAGGGCATTTATCTTGAAGGGAAGGAAGGGGGCATTTATCTTGAAGGGAAGGAAGGAGGGCATTTATCTTGAAGGGAAAGGAGGGCATTTATCTTGAAGGGAAGGAAGGAGGGCATTTATCTTGAAGGGAAGGAAGAAGGACATTTATCTTGAAGGGAAGGAAGGAGGGCATTTATCTTGAAGGGAAGGAAGGAGGGCATTTATCTTGAAGGGAAGGAAGGAGGGCATTTATCTTGAAGGGAAGGAAGGAGGGCATTTATCTTGAAGGGAAGGATGGAGGGCATTTATCTTGAAGGGAAGGAAGGAGGGCATTTATCTTGAAGGGAAGGAATGAGGGCATTTATCTTGAAGGGAAGGAAGGAGGGCATTTATCTTGAAGGAAAGGATGGAGGGCATTTATCTTGAAGGGAAGGAAGGAGGGCATTTATCTTGAAGGAAGGAAGGAGGGCATTTATCTTGAAGGGAAGGAAGGAGGGCATTTATCTTGAAGGGAAGAAAGGAGGGCATTTATCTTGAAGGGAAGGAAGGAGGAATTTATCTTGAAGGGAAGGAAGGAGGGCATTTATCTTGAAGGAAGGAAGGAGGGGCTATTTATCTTGAAGGGAAGGAAGGAGGGCATTTATCTTGAAGGGAAGGAAGGAGGGCATTTATCTTGAAGGGAAGGATGGAGGGCATTTATCTTGAAGGGAAGGAAGGAGGGCATTTATCTTGAAGGGAAGGAAGGAGGGCATTTAACTTGAAGGGAAGGATGGAGGGCATTTATCTTGAAGGGAAGGAAGGAGGGCATTTATCTTGAAGGGAAGGAAGGAGGGCATTTATCTTGAAGCGAAGGAGGGCATTTATCTTGAAGGGAAGGAAGGAGGGCATTTATCTTGAAGGGAAGGACGGCATTAATCTTGAAGGGAAGGAGGAGGGCATTTATCTTGAAGGGAAGGAAGGAGGGCATTTATCTTGAAGGGAAGGAAGGAGGGCATTTATCTTGAAGGGAAGGAAGGAGGGCATTTATCTTGAAGGGAAGGAAGGAGGGCATTTATCTTGAAGGGAAGGAAGGAGGGCATTTGTCTTGAAGGGAAGGAAGGAGGGAATTTATCTTGAAGGGAAGGATGGAGGGCATTTATCTTGAAGGGAAGGATGGAGGGCATTCATCTTGAAGGGAAGGAAGGAGGGCATTTATCTTGAAGGGAAGGAAGGAGGGCATTTATCTTGAAGGGAAGGAAGGAGGGCATTTATCTTGAAGGGAAGGAAGGAGGGCATTTATCTTGAAGGGAAGGAAGGAGGGCATTTATCTTGAAGGGAAGGATGGAGGGCATTTATCTTGAAGGGAAGGAAGGAGGGCATTTATCTTGAAGGGAAGGAAGGAGGGCATTTATCTTGAAGGATGGAGGGCATTTATCTTGAAGGGAAGGATGGAGGGCATTTATCTTGAAGGGAAGGAAGGAGGGCATTTATCTTGAAGGGAAGGAAGGAGGGCATTTATCTTGAAGGGAAGGAAGGAGGGGCATTTATCTTGAAGGGAAGGAAGGAGGGCATTTATCTTGAAGGGAAGGAAGGAGGGCATTTATCTTGAAGGGAAGGAAGGAGGGCATTTATCTTGAAGGGAAGGAAGGAGGGCATTTATCTTGAAGGGAAGGAAGGAGGGCATTTATCTTGAAGGAAGGAAGGAGGGCATTTATCTTGAAGGGAAGGATGGAGGGCATTTATCTTGAAGGGAAGGAAGGAGGGCATTTATCTTGAAGGGAAGGAAGGAGGGCATTTAACTTGAAGGGAAGGATGGAGGGCATTTATCTTGAAGGGAAGGAAGGAGGGCATTTATCTTGAAGGGAAGGAAGGAGGGCATTTATCTTGAAGCGAAGGAGGGCATTTATCTTGAAGGGAAGGAAGGAGGGCATTTATCTTGAAGGGAAGGACGGCATTTAAACTTGAAGGGAAGGAAGGAGGGCATTTATCTTGAAGGGAAGGAAGGAGGGCATTTATCTTGAAGGGAAGGAAGGAGGGCATTTATCTTGAAGGGAAGGAAGGAGGGCATTTATCTTGAAGGGAAGGAAGGAGGGCATTTATCTTGAAGGGAAGGAAGGAGGGCATTTGTCTTGAAGGGAAGGAAGGAGGGAATTTATCTTGAAGGGAAGGATGGAGGGCATTTATCTTGAAGGGAAGGATGGAGGGCATTCATCTTGAAGGGAAGGAAGGAGGGCATTTATCTTGAAGGGAAGGAAGGAGGGCATTTATCTTGAAGGGAAGGAAGGAGGGCATTTATCTTGAAGGGAAGGAAGGAGGGCATTTATCTTGAAGGGAAGGAAGGAGGGCATTTATCTTGAAGGGAAGGATGGAGGCATTTATCTTGAAGGGAAGGAAGGAGGGCATTTATCTTGAAGGGAAGGAAGGAGGGCATTTATCTTGAAGGGAAGGAAGGAGGGCATTTATCTTGAAGGGAAGGAAGGAGGGCATTTATCTTGAAGGGAAGGAAGGAGGGCATTTATCTTGAAGGGAAGGAAGGAGGGCATTTATCTTGAAGGGAAGGAAGGAGGGCATTTATCTTGAAGGGAAGGAAGGAGGGCATTTATCTTGAAGGGAAGGAAGGAGGGCATTTATCTTGAAGGGAAGGAAGGAGGGCATTTATCTTGAAGGGAAGGAAGGAGGGCATTTATCTTGAAGGGAAGGAAGGAGGGCATTTATCTTGAAGGGAAGGATGGAGGGCATTTATCTTGAAGGGAAGGAAGGAGGGCATTTATCTTGAAGGGAAGGAAGGGGGGCATTTATCTTGAAGGGAAGGAAGGAGGGCATTTATCTTGAAGGGAAGGGAAAGGGGGGCATTTATCTTGAAGGGAAGGAAGGAGGGCATTTATCTTGAAGGGAAGGAAGGAGGGCATTTATCTTGAAGGGAAGGAAGGAGGGCATTTATCTTGAAGGGAAGGAAGGAGGGCATTTATCTTGAAGGGAAGGATGGAGGGCATTTATCTTGAAGGGAAGAAGGAGGGCATTTATCTTGAAGGGAAGGAAGGAGGGCATTTATCTTGAAGGGAAGGAAGGAGGGCATTTATCTTGAAGGGAATGATGGAGGGCATTTATCTTGAAGGGAAGGAAGGAGGGCATTTATCTTGAAGGGAAGGAAGGAGGGCATTTATCTTGAAGGGAAGGAAGGAGGGCATTTATCTTGAAGGGAAGGAAGGAGGGCATTTATCTTGAAGGGAAGGAAGGAGGGCATTTATCTTGAAGGGAAGAAGGAGGGCATTTATCTTGAAGGGAAGGAAGGAGGGCATTTATCTTGAAGGGAAGGAAGGAGGGCATTTATCTTGAAGGGAAGGAAGGAGGGCATTTATCTTGAAGGGAAGGAAGGAGGGCAATTTATCTTGAAGGGAAGGAAGGGGGGCATTTATCTTGAAGGGAAGGAAGGAGGGCATTTATCTTGAAGGGAAGGAAGGAGGGCATTTATCTTGAAGGGAAGGAAGGAGGGCATTCCTGTTAATGGGAAGTGCAACTGTCACGTTATTTCAGTCATATGTTGTTGTTGTTGCAGATCCTGACTCAGGAATACAGTGATGCAGCTGTCGACCTCCTCTGTAACCACTTCTTCAAGGACGAGCCTCTGGGGAAGGCACTCTACCTCGACAGCCCGAGGGAGGTCGACCACTGGCTCTCCAAGGTCCTGCCTCACATGGTAAGATACCCTTTACCACACACTCTTCATACACCCACGAATATAAAATATTACTGTGTATAGTCAGAGAGAACAGGAGGCAGATGGATTTAATTTGAGAAGGAAGGTATCTCCAATTACTTACAAGAGTCCTTCAAGCAGCATCAAGGGACGTCCCGTCCCTGAAGCGTGTGTACGAGTTAAATGCAGTCTTAAGAGGCAGTCCCCCTTAACAGCATCAAGGGACGTCCCGTCCCTGAAGCGTGTGTACGAGTTAAATACAGTCTTAAGAGGCAGTCCCCCTTAACAGCATCAAGGGACGTCCCGTCCCAGAAGCGTGTGTACGAGTTAAATACAGTCTTAAGAGGCAGTCCCCCTTAACAGCATCAAGGGACGTCCCGTCCCAGAAGCGTGTGTACGAGTTAAATACAGTCTTAAGAGGCAGTCCCCCTTAACAGCATCAAGGGACGTCCCGTCCCTGAAGCGTGTGTACGAGTTAAATACAGTCTTAAGAGGCAGTCCCCGTAAGTACCTCGGTCTTCTATAACACGTTCATTTTTCCACTATAATCTACCTTGTCCATAATTACAATCGCATTTGATTTGTTTCCTAAAGTAACGTCCAGGATCTTTCCTAAATTCATGGTATAAGTTAAATGTTTGAGGACAACTGTGTTGTAGAGGCCTGAGCTTCGCTCTACAACACTAATGTCATTAATGATTTGTTAAGTTATACCATGAATTAAGGTAAGATCCTGGATATCACCTTACGAAACAAAGCAAATGCGATACTAATTATGGACAAGGTAGATTACAGTGGAAAAATGAACATGTTATTAAAAGACAGGGGAGCTTACGTGCCGCTTAATGATCCGCGTACAGTCAAAAATACTACACAAATAACCCGAGGGGTATTTGTGTATTGTTCCAGTTATGGTACTGTACCTTGTTAGGTAAGACACATATGCAACAGTTAGGTATCTTTATTATGAAACGTTTCGCCTACACAGTAGGCTTCTTCAGTCAAGTACAGAAAAGTTGATAGAAGCAGAAGATACTTGAAGACGATGTAATCAGTCCATCACCCTTAAAGTTTTGAGGTGGTCAGTATTTTATACCATTTTAATATTCGTACTGTACCTTTCTGTTCTTTACAGACGAACATCTTGAGGCCTTAACTAACCAGTCATATCTTAATTTACTTTAATTCATTGACTCTTTTCCTCCCACTGAGCGTTCACTAAAAATACGCAAATTAAGGGAGAACTATGATATCTTTCCTCTCGCCATTTTACGGGACATAATGGCTTCCCAGCACCCAAGACTTTAATATAATGTTTAATAACGTGTCCCTACTTGCTCAACTTCACAGTTTTAGTTCTCCACCAGGATAATTAGGGTTTCCCTCATAATTGAACACTTTTCCTCACCACTTTTCTTACCTTCCAGTATTTCACCTGCATCTAAATTAGCCTAGTGGAATCAAGAACAGACACGGCTTGCAGAACAAGCATTTATCGAGACTTATTATTTTCACTATTATTATTATTATTATTATTATTATTATTGTTTACAACGTTCAACCTGTGTATGTCATTTAGCACAAGAAGTACTGAAGGCTCGATCCTCTGCTCTCTTCCCTGCTGTACAATGGAAGAATACAATGTTATTGCTCTTCATAAGTTAGGTAAGCCTTCAGCATTTACCATCGAACTATACATGGCCCTATATGACCCAGAGGGGATTAGCGTTGTGAAAAATAATAATTCATGTACCTTCAGATCAGCCACGGTGTATCAGTGATGGCGATAGATGAGTCAGCCAACGGGAGGCTGGTGGGTGTGGCTATCAACAGCATTAAGAGGCGGGGTGACACACCTGGTCCTGACGATTTCCTGGCCTGGATCGACCCCCAGAAGGATCCCAAGATGTACAAGATCATCTCCTTCCTCACTAAACTAGCCAGCGATATTGACTTCTTCGGCCAATACGGCGTTGATAAGGTAATGTACTGACACGACTACCATGTACACTCAGGGGGTATATATCAGAGTATATATATACAGACAGGTATATGTCTCTCAGTATACATCAAGGGGTCTATATCAGACAGATATGCGTCTCTCAGTATACATCAAGGGGTCTATATCAGACAGATATGCGTCTCTCAGTATACATCAAGGGGTCTATATCAGACAGATATGCGTCTCTCAGTATACATCAAGGGGTCTATATCAGAGTATATACAGACAGGTATGCCTCTCTTAGTATACATCAAGGGGTCTATATCAGAGTATATACAAACAGGTATGCCTCTCTCAGTATACATCAAGGGATCTATATCAGAGTATATACAGATAGGTATGCCTCTCTCAGTATACATCAAGGGGGTCTATATCAGAGTATATACACAGACAGATATGCGTAAAATGCAGCCTTAATTCCCCTTGTATAGTCGACAGGTTACAAACCTAACCAACCACCCACTTAAACCATTTACCTTTGATGAGTTTCGCGAGTCTGCTCCCGGAGCCCGGCCATAGGCCAGGCTCCTCTGGTGAAAGACTGATGCCAACAGTGTTTGGGGTTCCCAGGCGGTAACCCACCCAGATACTAACCAAACCCAACGTGGGTTCAACGCGGAATGTCCGTTGAAAAAAGATATACGATTATTTTCAATTAGTTGTCCAGTAATTAACATAAATATGCTACATGATTTACATTTCTAAAAATACATACAAAAAAATATATTTTAATTATTAGATAGTATAAAATATTTGATCTATTTTACATTCAAAAATTAGAATTATCTTAATATAGTCTCCTACTTTATTTATATTTTTAAATGGTGAAGATCAAATTAGTGTTATTCACCCAAAAGCGCTAAACCTGTATGACTAACATTAATAAGTGAAAATTCTCATTTTTGCCTTTGTTTGGAGGCTACCAGCAGTATAGATGGTCATATCAGGCCTGGTCATGGACCGGGTCGCGGGGGCGTTGACCCCGAAATATTCTGTAAGTGTATCATGGTTCCGAGGAGTTGCTGCAGGAAGCTAACAAGACGTATTCAAGCCGTGATAAAGCTCTCCAATGAGCGAAACATAGCAATATACTAAGTGTACTGGAGTTTTATGACTCTGATCGCGGGTTCAATCCCCGCCCGTGGTATGGTTTTTTTATCCTTGTATGTAATGAAGACTGAGAAGTCTTGTAGTCTTTATTTCTTAATTCTAACGGAAATAATCGTAGTGTGTATTGGCATACAGTTCCTCAACTTCGAGCTTCTGAACGTGGACAAGTCGTACAGTGGACGAGGTATTGCTTCCATGTTGGTGTTGCAGAGCTGCAACGTTGCTAGGGCTCAAGGTTTTACCTGCCTCGTCACAGAAACTACAGGTAAGCACATTACATGTGGGATATACCCCACATAACATACCCTGAGGGATTTATTATTTTTTATTTTTTTATTAACACACTGGCCGATTCCCACCAAGGCAGGGTGGCCCGAAAAAGAAAAACTTTCACCATCATTCACTCCATCACTGTCTTGCCAGAAGGGTGCTTTACACTACAGTTTTTAAACTGCAACATTAACACCCCTCCTTCAGAGTGCAGGCACTGTACTTCCCATCTCCCATCTTCCCATCTCCTGAGGGATATACCCACATAACATACCCTGTGGGATATACCCACATAACATACCCTGTGGGATATACCCACATAACATACCCTGTGGGATATACCCACATAACATACCCTGTGGGATATACCCACATAACATACCCTGTGGGATATACCCACACAACACATAACCTTATAGACGCACACACTACCTCCCCTAAGTAGAGAAAAACTCTAAATGTTGCGAAAAATATTTCTGGGAAAATTTAACCGAGATTGCGATTAAAATTTCCTCCATATTCCTAAGTTTTCTCCCATAATGTAAAAAGTCACATCCTTAAAAAATACATTGTTTTGATTTCCCACGTTATTTTTCTCAATTCCAGAAAAATTTGTAAATTCATCCTCGTGTAGTTAGTATTCACAGTAATGAGAAAACTCAGCTTATGCAACCATACAAGTTTCTCGATTACTATATCATTACGTTTACGTCCAGAGGTGATGCTTGACTAGTAACCTGCAACACTGTGTCCGCAGGTATCTTCTCAGCCAAGATCTTCGCGCGACACGCCTTCAAGACCATCCGGGAGGTGCAGTACTCCCAGTACCGCCAGAACGGCCGCATCGCCTTCCCAAATACCGGCATCCATAACTCAGCTCGAGTCTCCGTCAAAATCCTAGACCCCCTCCAGCCTAACAGCAGTTAGATCACCCCAGCTACCCACCTGAACCCCAGCGGCACTGCTGCTGCTGCTGCTCCACACACCATCACACATGTCCAACAGTAGTACTCCGTAGCAAGAACCAGCTCCTTCTCTAACTCCAGCTGGCTCCTTTATCACTTCCGACTGGCTGAATGAATCACCTGCATTTCTTCAACCAATCATTGCCAACTACTACCCAACTCATCACAAGTAATTGGTCAAACAGGGACAATATCTTAGAAGGCAAATTGTAGCTCTAACACTGCTACACAAGTGTAATATAGCGCTGTCTACATAGCCTTCAGGGACACAGCAAACCCGTCGTCTCCCGTTATCAACACCTTACTGTTATCTATCTCTTATGCCTTGTATAAACATTATATTGCTGGAATTTAAAGGGCCATACAAGCAAAAACTTTGGTTTTTACAATGTATATTTCTGGCTTCCCACGACAGTTGAGTGAATCATAATACTGACAGGATAAGTGATAAGAATAACCAACATTCAACCGTATAGAAATCCGAATTTTATTCAGAAGAGGGTCTCTGGTCAGACCGAAAACGTTCTCTATTTCATACTCTTCAATGTGGGTTATTCTTATAAATATAAAACTAGTTTCACAGTGTAGAAAATATTCTTTAGCTCATACCAAATATCTTGCTTCAATAAAAAACAAACTGTGGTGTGTGTGTGTGTGTGTGTGTGTGTGTGTGTGTGTGTGTGGTGTGTGTGTGTGTGTGTGTGTGTGTGTACTAACACTTGATGTAGAGGTCTAATAATATTTACTTACATGACAAGCGTTTAAGCATAGTACTGTATAGTGAAAATTTCCATATAATTTAAGCCTATCTTGTAACCAAACCAATAGCCAGATTCAGTTTATTGCTAATATGTATATTGTATTCTTCTCCAATAGACAAAGCCAGAATAAAGATTTCACTATTAAGAAAATGTGAAAGATAGTCTTATTTAAGTTGTGCTGAGATTCCAGTGTTTTGCATGTTACCACTGAGACAGTATTGTCAAAATACAACGGCTGGTGCAATCTGTAGATTCTTCCCTAAAAAAACGCTGGGAAGACAAGAAAATAGATGGAAGAAAAGCATTCGTTCCAGACAGAAATTATTTTTGTCAAGGCAAAGCACTGTAAGGCGACAAAAAATAGATGTCCGCATACCGAGGTTCATTTTCAACTGAAGTCAATAACTGTCGTTACCATTCCTAAATACGATTTTTTTTTCATTTTTTTGTCCAAACTTTGGAGAGGAAACTTAGGCCACGTTTCGCTCAGCATGGTATGCTTTACCGACATATAATCAGGTTATTTATCAGTTGGAGCAGTTTACGATGAATCAGCTATGTAAAACGCTAGAACAACACTGAGAATGGGTGGAGAGCTTCACCAGCCATACGGCAGGTACACAACATACAACCCGTCCTGCAAATACTACGTTTGTTTTCACACGCATTCCAGTTACCCGATTAAAACGACATATATACAACCCTTACATGTGCAGCAATCCCACCCCCCAACACGATCATCCAATCTACTACTACTACTACTACTACTACTACTTACATCTCCCGACGCCTCTATTCCATTACCCATGCTGACATAACTCAATATCTTACGTTAACTTATACCTGTGGCTAGTTTCCAGGGCTCTCATGTTTCCCTCGGTCCGTCCTGAGGCCAGATTTCTATGTTGACTCGGGTCAACCAGGCTTTTTCTACCACTACCACAACTTGGTACTTGATATTTCATAGCCAAGACGAAATACATGTATAACCTAAACACCACACTTCTGAAGACCATTTGAAGCTATGTTTAACCACTGGAAACTGTTACAGTATGTAACAAAACACTAGTAAAACCAGGGCTGTGGAGTCACTTCCGACTCAGACTACACAGCCCTTGATAAAACCCGTACGCTTGTTACATCAAGTTTGTTAATTAATAAATCAGTACCAACTAGTGTTTACGGTTCTTACCAACCGATTTACTGATTCCTATCTTGTACGACCTGGCTATATCTACTCGTGAAGATATGCTCATGTTACCTGCGATACACACAATATCTACATATTAATAACAATATAAATACTACTGACATACAGAGCCAGTGACTATGCACTCAGACTACTGAATGTGGCAGGGTAAGCCAGTGATCGTTGCTAGCGTGGTACAAAATGCATCATACAGACCGTAGTTATCCCAAGCACAGCATATGGCAGTGCTCGAAATATTACAGATTCACCATGGGTCCAGGGACTGGGTCTACCCCAGTCCTAACACTGTGCTGGCCAAGCAAGTTGCCGTACACAACAAACCAACAAGTTGGAGATTTAATTCGGTCTGTAATGGACTACTGGACCTGCCTCGCATAGGCCAGTAGGCCTGTTGCATTGTTCCTTCTTTCTTACGTTCTTATTACCACCAAATAAAGAATTAATACGACCCAGGATAAGCGAAACGGCATCTAATTTATCAACAGTTCGTAAATTACTTGTGACTTGTTCCAGTCATGGTACTGTATCATCTTCCAGTTCCAGAAAACATGAGCCAATACAACCGTCTTGTTCCAGTAATGGTACTGTATCATCTTCCAGTTCCAGAAAACACGAGCCAATACAACCGTCTTGTTCCAGTCATGGTACTGTATCATCTTCCAGTTCCAGAAGACATGAGCCAATACAACCGTCTTGTTCCAGTCGTGGTACTGTATCATCTTCCAGTTCCAGAAGACATGAGCCAATACAACTGTCTGAGTCGTCAATAGTCTGTATAATAGTGTGTATAATGACACAATTTAGGTTACTAAAGGTAACATTTCGCCCGAATGTGGTTGTCTTCTTAAACTGGAGAAGACAACATGTTGGTATGGAAGTTTCAACTGGAAAATGTCCTGAAATGTCCTGAAATGTACACAAATGCCTTTATACACAAGTGCCCTGTGAATGTGTGTGTGTGAGTCAGCCGACCTGCGCATATTCTCTGACTTCTTAGGACAAACTCACCTGCTGGCGCAGCTAGTGAGAACCATCTTAGCGTCAAGTATTCAAAACACAACTGAAAATCATTATGGTGATACCGACAAGATATGGAAAAAAGACACTTATGTACGATTCAATTCGGTGATTTTGGTCGGTACTCCCAGCCCGGGTCTTGCCCAGTTGAAAGTTAAGACACATGTGCAACATCTGGATATCTTTATTGTAGACGTTTCGCCATCCAGTGGCTTTATCAATAAAGATTCTAGGACATAATTAGAAGACAGTAGAACTATATACAAAAGATGAGGTAATCGGTCCCTCAGTCTTAAAGTTGAAAGTTAAAACACATGTGCAACATCTGGATATCTTTATTGTAGACGTTTCGCCATCCAGTGGCTTTATCAATACAGATTCTAGGACAATAGGAAGACAGTAGAACTATATACAAAAGATGAGGTAATCAGTCCCTCGGCCTTGGAGTTAGTGTTCACAGCATCGTGGTGGAGGAGAATCTGGAGCAAAGGCAAGAAGACTGGCGGTTATATAGGCGTCAGTGGATAGGGACAGGCAGCAGACGAGGACAGTCACTGGTAGGCGGGATTCCCCAGTGGAAGTAGGTCCTTCCCAAAGAGATGGGTAAGTTGCAGCAGCCGTGAAGAAGGTCTTGTAGATGTCCTCTGAACCAAGATTCCATGATGTTGCAGTGTCTGACAAGTTGTGCAAGATAGGTATAAAATACCTTTCTTGCACAGTCTTAAAGTTGAGAGCACCTTAGTGGTAGAGAATCTGTATTTAATACCTTTCTTGCACATCTTGCCCAGTTGACGACCTGGCGAGTCATGCACATTAAAGGAAACGTATCGCCAGAAATGGCTTCCTCGATCCTGGAGAACACACTCGTGGCGAAACGTAACCTCAAATGACCTGAACTGCTGCGTCATTTTCCACATTCAATGTTAGTACCAAGTTTTCCCGCTCTGGTAAATACGTAGATACGGGAGCCTATGTATAAATGACTAAAAACAAAACAGAACAACGTCTGAATACAGCGTTGCTTTCCTGACGTTCTATCGTATAAATTATTCTGACCGTGTTTTCTTGGCCGCTGTTACATCGAGAAACCTTACTCCCTGGTAATGTTTAATCTGCTGTTACATTTAGAAATGGTTAATTTTTGGTTAGTTAACGTTTACTTAATTTAAAATAATTCGGCAACAGAACAAGCCAGAAAAAAAAAATTATCGAGTGTAATAATGTTAGAATTGCCAATAATATGTTAAGTAAAAGGACACAAGAACAACTAATGAGTCATTTTACTGTAGCAACATTTCGCTCTCAAGAGAAACAACAACAACAAAAGGCACAATACCGTGACTGGAACGATACACAAATAACCTGCACATAGAAGACAGGAGCTTACCACGACGTTTCGGTCCGACCTGGACCATTTACAAAGTCACTTTGTAAATGATCCAAATCGTGGTAAGCTCCTCTCTTCTATGTGCGGGTTATTTGTGTAATACTCTCAAGAGTGCCTATGTGGCTTGCTTACGTTCTATAACCCATTTCCCTTATGGAAAATGGGGAGTAAAGTATGATCCACGGAGACAATCACATAACCCGAGACGATCTCACATTAACACACTACTTCTCCGGGAGTAGGAGCAATTCTGGTGTGTTTTCCCCAGCACCTGCTGATGCGGCTGCATCAAACACCAAACAGGGCTCCTAATGGTCAGATCAGGTACCCTTAGCGCGTTGTGAGGCATCATTAAAAGCAGTAATGGTTACATCAGCACAGCCATGTTTGGTGTTTTCTTTATGATGGCCAATGGCCTTGACCTCACCTCTACTCCCTCTTTAGTCACAAATGTGGCCATGTTTCCTTAAGCCTCAAATATACAGTATACCAATCCCGTCCTTCATATATATATGTAACCTTCGTATTCTAACGAGTTTACCTGCATTATTTCTAAACAATGGAGACAGTTTAACATGTTTGAAAATAATATTTAATTTAATCTAAATAACTTTGAATTTACATATAACCACAATTAACCAAGTTCCGTAAACAAGAGATAATGTTTGGCAGTGGGACTTACACCGCCGATGCTTAATTCTGCTATATTCGTTGGCAACAACGCGCTCGTTATGTACAGGGTGAGGGATGTTTCTTATACAGGGAGTTTCACTCGTAGGAGGTCCCGAATTGGTGCTCCTCTACCTACCTACCTGCAGGTAGTTGCAACCGTTTGTATGTGTCTGTAATAAGCGATAACTCGGGGCCTCCTGCGAGTAAAACGCTCAGTATATACAAACAAGACAGTTGCACGTACGCGAGTACCAACCCGGGGCCTCCTGCGAGTAAAACGCTCAGTATATACAAACAAGACAGTTGCACCTACACGAGTACCAACCCGGGGCCTCCTGCGAGTAAAACGCTCAGTATATACAAACAAGACAGTTGCACCTACACGAGTACCAACCCGGGGCCTCCTGCGAGTAAAACAACCTGTACCTGGCCACCTCCCTCCCACTAGCGAGATATTCTACTTACCTTCTTTTCATCCCCCAAAACTAATAACGTACTATCTGGACTACTAATGCCTGGTTGATCAGACCCTGATCCACCATGAGGCCTGGTGCCAGACCGAGCCGCGGGGGCGTTGACCCCCGAAACCTACTCCAGGTAACAGACATTGACATTTGTAAGATCGTCTTGAACTTGCAAAATCCGTGGAACAAAATATTATCCGGACAAATAATATAGCGTGACCTTTGCTCTTTGACGGGTTTCGTATTTTTTACCTCTCCCGCAGCGCGGCCCTGGACCAGGCTTGTCTAGTGCTTGATTGGTCAACCAGGCTGTTACTACTGGTGGCCCGCTGGCCTACATATCCATCACAACCTGGCTGATCTGGAACTTGGACATCTGGCACTTATTCCGGCAGTGTTTCTGACATCTGGTAAGATGTTAAATGGTATGGGAGCACAGATGCTGATATATACAAGTGGCCTGGTGGCTAAAGCTCCCGCTTCACACACGGAGGGCCCGGGTTCGATTCCCGACGGGTGGAAACATTTCGACACGTTTCCTTACACCTGTTGTCCTGTTCACCTAGCAGCAAATAGGTACCTGGGTGTTAGTCGACTGGTGTGGGTCGCATCCTGGGGGACAAGATTAAGGACCCCAATGGAAATAAGTTAGACAGTCCTCGATGACGCACTGACTTTCTTGGGTTATCCTGGGTGGCTAACCCTCCGGGGTTAAAAATCCGAACGAAATCTTATCTTATCTTATCTCTCACAGCTGGGAGTGTCATGTGGGGGTTCATACTACTGGTTACTGGTACTACTAGGAACTGATACTACTGAGAGGAGAGCTGAAGAGGCATCTAAGTACCCCTGTCTTCTAACAGCATGTTCATTTTTCCTTGTACATAATTACTATAGCATTTCCTTTGTCTGTTTCGTAAGGTGAAGTCTGAGATCTTACCTTAACCCGTAAACGGTCCAAACGTATATATACGTTTTTTCAACATTTGAAAGTACGTAAAAAAAAGTAGATCTTCTTTTTGTTTTTCTACATTTGAAAATGTGTAAAAAAAACGTTAATCTACTTTTTTTTGTTATATTTGAAAATGTGGAAAAAAAACTTTGATCTACTTTTTTTTGTTATATTTGAAAATATGTAAAAAAAACTTTGATCTACTTTTTTGTTATATTTGAAAATGTGTAAAAAAAACTTTGATTACTTTTTTTTGTATTGAAAATATGCACAAAAAAACTTTGATTTTTGTTTTGTTTATTTTTAAATATGTAAAAAAACTTTGATCCTTTTTTTGTTATATTGAAATTAGTAAAAAAAAACTTTGATCTATTTTTTTTTGGTTATTTGAAAATAATGTAAAAAAAACTTTGATCTACTTTTTTTTGTTATATTGAAAATATGTAAAAAATTTGATTCTTTTTATTGTAATATTTGAAAATATGTAAAAAAAAACTTTGATCTACTTTTTTTGTTATATTTGAAAATATGTAAAAAAAACTTTGATCTACTTTTGTAGCACTACAAGGGTTAATTCATGGTATAACTTAACAAATCTCTGAGGACAAAGGTTAATTCATGGTATAACTTAACAAATCTCTGAGGACAAAGGTTAATTCATGGTATAACTTAACAAATCTCTGAGGACAAAGGTTCTAATGTCTGGTAAACTTAAAAACTTTTAGGCAAAGGTTAATTCATGGTTAATTACAAATCTTGAGGACAAAGAGTTAAATCATGGTAGAATCTTACATTTTGGGACAAAGGTTAATTCATGGTATAACTTAACAAATCTCTGAGGACAAAGGTTAATTCATGGTATAACTTAACAAATCTCTGAGGACAATTGTAGAGGTCTGAGCTTTCTTCAGACCTCTGATTTAAGTTATACCGTGAATTAAGGAAAGATCTTAGACTTCACCTTACGAAACAAAGCAAATGCGATTGCAATTATGGACAAGGTAGTGGAAAAATGAACTTGTTATTAGAAGACGGGGGAACTTACGTGCCTCTTAAGATAGAATCGTAAATCAAGAACGAATGCAGTAAAAAAATATCAATAAACAAGCAGTGAATTCAGCCTACGTCAATTGTTTATATTCCTGGAGAACCAATTACACGCCTTACTCCACCCTACACACAAAACACAAGAGAGACGCGCAAACACTAATACAACTCGTGTCAGCAACTTTCTAGTAAAAAGCTCCTAAATCAGGTTTCACAAAGACGTAGTAATTCACTAGTAAATCCAAGAAACCTAGACAATCTTTATTAACGAAGAAGTTTGGCATAATGTAAGCTTTATCAGGAAGTTGATCAAGGTCTCACTGATCATAAAAATACCTTTATCAAAGGTTCCTTCTGTCTTGATTTACTACGTGTGGGTTACTGCGTATCTTTCATGCAGTGGAAATACGTGCCTATGTTGGTATGTGTTGCCACGTGGAGCAGTGACAGTGGTTATGACCGCGGGTTCAGGCTTCCATACTCTGTAGTTAGTCTTTAACTCTTTGTGTGTTGATAATGATCTTGTGCGTTGCGGTACTCCTCCTCCCCCATCAAGTCTTCCTACTTGCAACACTTCTTGTCATGATCAAACACTCATGTAACTGAGGTAGTGAAGGCGAGGTGGTGCGTAGTTACGCTAAAAACATCAGTCGAAATAAGTCACTTTGACTTTTCTGGGTTATTCTGGTGCGTAATTTACACATATAACAGAAATATGTAATCACATTCGTCGGGTAGCACAGAGAATGCATTAGATGTTTCCACAACAATCTCTTTCTTCTCCATCGTTTCTACCTTTCCATTCGTCTTCTTGATCGTCAACTTTGTTCCATGCTGTCCAGCCTCTGTCCAGTTTCCCTTCTTGACCTGAGGACTCAGAACAGGATTGCTACGAATCCTCTTGTTTTTCTTAGGCAATCGCCGTAATCATATTTATGTATACCTGTACTTAAACTTACTTAAGCAAATACATGAAAAGTGTGTAGATCCTCGTCAAAGTCAACACAAACATAACCCCAATTAAATATCTTTTATATTTCCACTACCTTCTGTCATATAGATCTTAAATCCCGTCCCTCATATCCAAGCTATAATTACCCTTAGTGTCGTTACAAGTGCTGCTGGTCAGAAAAATTCACGAGACGCTGGAACAAGAGGCGTCCAGATATACACGGAAGGTAGCCAACCACTCACACGCTAAACTCACTCTTCATAAACAATAAAACCCGCTGACACAAACACACAATACGACAGTTTCAAAACAGGTTAAAATAACATGGTTTAGTTAGAAGCCCCATCAAGTTGGATACATTAAGGGCATAAAAGATCACAGAGGTGTCAGCATGAAGTCTCAAGAAAATACACAGGTTGCAGGATAAGCTTTCACCGAAACATTCTGATCTGTCAAGCTTTATCAAGTTCTACACGGAGCGAAACGTTGTCCCCCCCACCCCCCAAAAAACCAGAAAGATGCATATTTTCTTCACTACTTCCTGTGTTACCTTCGACTACCACCTACATGATGGGGGGGGGAGGGTTCGCAATCAAGGCATTAAACTACCCGCACCGTGCCACTTGGGTCAAAGACCAATGCCAGGGAAAGTCAGTAAAAATATACAGCCGAGTCAGCAGCATCTGAAGCTACACTGAGGAGACTTAAAACACCAACACTACAACCGATAATTTATTACGAACTCTGCATAGGAAAGACCTTGTATACTCACAAGCATAGCAAAACATCACACACATTAACACAACTGCATGTTCAAACACATCACTCAGTTGTAAATATGGTATAAGAATCTGTAGCTACATAAAGAAGGACATATTGTTAAAACATGAAGCAAAGTTAGCAACGAACCACAAACTGTAATAAAAACAGGATTTCGTGCAAGCAAATGTAAACGGCTAGAGTTGTTGTGCCCAATATTCAATTTATAAGCAACAGTCTTGTAGCAACAAGTCATGTAGACTTTGTACAACCCACTGGGAAAGCCACTTTCACATTACATAACCCTTTACTTGAAATAGGTGGCTGCACTCGATACAGCAGTCTTTGCCTCTACATCCGCCTGTTCATAGTCCAGGAACCTGACTTGCCATAAGCAAACTTAACCTCTCAACCAGCAGGCACTAGACCACGGCACAAAGACACTGATGTAAATTTGGATTACCAGGCATGCACAACAGCTGAAACAACAGGGAGATATGAGGGTCAGAAAACTTGATCAAACAAGTATCAATGGCCGAGCTACGTATCCAACTTCAATCTATCAATCTACACACAAGTCTTGTTAAAAGAACAAGGCCAAACTCCCACGTCTTGTCTTGCCCTGTATAACTTTCTGCTGGAAAAATAGACACAAATACAGCAAAACGCGATCCTGTATTGACTACTTACAGCTTGCTGCTGTTCTACAGGGCCCACCAGGGACCGACACAACCCAATGTCATACTGATATACAAGACCCTTAAGTTACTGAAGAGTGCTACTGAACGTGCTTGATATAGAATGGCCAGGATCGTACCACCATCTCTCACTACATCACCTACATCTGTGTTTGTACGGTAGCAACACTGTCTAAGCCAGCAACACAAACACCAACGCTCACCGAGCTCGCACAACACAAGGCAACACAAAATTTAACAAGTCCCGCCATCTTTAACCTACCTTAAAGCTTTCAGAGCAAGCTGCTTGTGTATGGAGATAAAAATACGAACTGCAACACAAGCTTTTCCTGCGACGACATTTCGCTCTGCGTAGAGCTTTAACGTGAGAAATGTTATGGCGATACCGACAAAATGTGGAGAAAGACATGTATAATTCAGGACATTTATTAGAGAAAACGTTTCGCCACGAGTGACTTAAGTCCTGGCGAAACGTTCCCTGTAAATGTCCTGACTATACATCAGTTTGTTTACCACAGCTGTAACATGTCACAACTCGACAAACTCTACACACAGTGAGATGCTGTCTAAATCAAATCGTTCCAACAACTTGCATCTCCTCAAACTTGCCCTAAAAAATGCCATTCCAACCTTTTATGAGGTAAAAATGAAGGTGTGTGTGTCTGTGTGTGTATGTAAAGTGTAAAGTGATTGTGTACTGGCCGTAGTTTATATATAATCTGAATACATGCATATAGATATACAAATACATACTACTAAGAAAATATTGTAAAGTATACATGTTGTTATATGTTCTTGTTAAAGTCTTGAAGACAGTTTCTGTGTGTAAAATAAAGTTTTGAGTGTAGAGGAGTGTAGTGTGGACGCTATATTGTGGTTCTGGCTACTTGGCGGCCACACTCACCCAGTGTCTACACCTGTGTCTACTGATAAATGGTTCATTAAACCTCTTGTTTTATTTAAACCTCAAATAAAGCCTGTGTCATTGAACCCCAAACTAACACTTATTTGAACACTACTGTCACGTGAACCCCAAACACTGTCACTGAACACCAAACACTGTCACTGAACACCAAACTAACATTTAACCAACTAATGACTAGTCCATATGGTACAACTAGGAAGGAGGGGAGAAGAGGCAGCCAGTTAGAAAAGGGATAAGAGGGACGGGAATGGAAAGGGGGGGGCTAAGATAGTGTGAGAATAACAAATGAGAGAGAGTTGGAGGAAATGGAGAAGTCATAGAGAATATTAGATTATATACCAGACAAATGGAGAGGAAAGAAAAGAGGAATAGAAAGGGGAGAGAGAGAGAGAGAGAGAGAGAGAGAGAGAGAGAGAGAGAGAGAGAGAGAGAGAGAGAGAGAAGAGAGAGAGAGAGAGAGAGAGAGAGAGAGAGAGAGAGAGAGAGAGAGAGAGAGAGAGAGAGAGAGAGAGAGAGAGAGAGAGAGAGAAAAAGAGAGAGAGAGAGAGAGAGAGAGAGAGAGAGAGAGAGAGAAACGAAGAAACAGTCAACATACAACCACAATAACAAATTCATATAGGGGCCATACAGTACCTGGGGAAACAAGAGGAAACCAGGTTTGATCCGAGGAAAGAGAGTAGCACTAATCCCACTAATCAAGACTTTTATAGCATCACCAGGGAAAATCAGCAAAGAATTCTTGCACTGCATCACAGCCATACCTGTGTCCGGTTTCCCGAGTGATTTTCCCTGCCAGGCTTCGCTTAATACGTGGTTAACCAGGTTGTTGGTGCTAGCAGCCCGCAAACCCACAGTCCTTTGATGAGTTTCGAAATCTCTTCTACTCCCGGAGCCCGGCCATGGGCTAGGCTCGTCTGGTGCTTGTCTGGTCAATCAGACTATTGCTGCTGGTGGTCGTGTGCCAGGCTTGTCTGGTGCTTGCTTGGTCAACCAGACTATTGCTGCTGCTGGTCATGTGCCAGGCTTGTCTGGTGCTTGCCTGGTCAACTAGACTATTGCTGCTGCTGGTCATGTGCCAGGCTTGTCTAGTGCATGCTTGGTCAAGCAGACTATTGCTGCTGCTGGTCATGTGCCAGGCCTGTCTGGTGCTTGCCTGGTCAATCAGACTATTGCTGTTGCTGGTCATGTGCCAGGCCTGTCTGGAGCTTGCCTGGTCAATCAGACTATTGCTGTTGCTGGTCATGTGCCAGGCCCTTTGTCTGGTGCTTGCCGGGTTTCAATCGGGACTATTGCTGCTGCTGTCATGTGCCAGGCCTGTCTGGTTCTTGCCGGGGTCAATCAGACAAATTTGCTGTTGCTGGTCTTTGTGCCAGGCTTGTCTGGTGCTTGCCTGGTCAACCAGACTATTGCTGCTGCTGGTGGTCATGTGCCAGGCTTGTCTGGTGCTTTGCTGGTCAACCAGACTATTGCTGCTGCTGGTCATGTGCCAGGCTCATCTGGTGCTTGCCTGGTCAACCAGACTATTGCTGCTGCTGGTCATGTGCCAGGCTTATCTGGTGCTTGCCTGGTCAACCAGACTATTGCTGCTGCTGGTCATGTGCCAGGCTTGTCTGGTGCTTGCCTGGTCAACCAGACTATTGCTGCTGCTGGTGGTCATGTGCCAGGCTTGTCTGGTGCTTTGCTGGTCAACCAGACTATTGCTGCTGCTAGTCATGTGCCAGGCTCATCTGGTGCTTGCCTGATCAACCAGACTATTGCTGCTGGTGGTCATGTGCCAGGCTTGTCTGGTGCTTGCCTGGTCAATCAGGCTGTTGCTGCTGGTGGCCCGCTGCCCCACATATCCATCACAACCTGGTTGATCTGGCACCTGGTGAAGATACTTGTCCAGTTTTATCTTGAAGTGTTTCTGATATCTGGTAAGATGTTGAATAACCTGGGACCACGAATGTTAATATAGTGTTCCCTTATTGTGCCCACCGCACCCCTGCTTTCACTGGTTTCATTTTAAAACGACCTAGACAGGAAAGTGGCAAAGGCAGGATCCAGACACAGCTTTAAGAACAGGTACGACGCGGTGACTCGACCCCTGTAAACATTATTAGCCACCTCACTCTAACCAACTCGTACATAATTTAAAACTCTGCACCCGTGACAGATCTACACAACAACAAAGTCAGTGACAATACTCAAGTTTTAAAACCATTTCACCTTTACAAGCGCCATATGCCAGATCAATTAAGCTGTGGTGGATGTGCTCCAGTGAGCCGCTAACAAGTCTGGTGGATCAAACAAGAAGCAAGTCTGGCTTCAGGTCGGTATGCGAAGGTAGAAGACACATGGAAACTGTTGGCAGGTATATTAACAGTGAAAATAATGCCGAAGATAGCTGCCAAAATATAATCAGTGATCATGCAAGCTAGTTTAGGGACAATGCGGTACAAGCACCAACAGTCTGGCTGGTCAGAAAATCTTTTACCAGATAATCTAACCTATGCTACTCCTTGTGCTGAGTAACCCACACGGGTTTAGCGCCTCGTGGGATACATAATAACGGTCTAACAATACATGCACAGAGACAGTAAGGAGTAAACAGGAGTGGCAAGTTGAGAGGCGGGTCCAGGAGCTGAGAATCAACCCTTGCAGCCACAAATACATGAGTACATATATAACTAAAATATTCTATAAAAAAAGAGCATGTATGATAAGAGTGAGCATGTATGATACATGCATACAGTGTGTATACATGACTCAGGAAATCGTTATGACACGATTGTAAACAAACCATACCACGGGTGGGGTTAGAACCCGCGATCAGAGAGTCTGGAGTTTTGAGACACTGATCGCGGGTTCTAACCCCACCCGTTATGGTTTATATAGTGTTTATGTATGAACAGTGAGCATGTACCACCACTTGTACGTTTTACCACACTCTATAGGCAGCAAATCCTCCTCTCAAAGACTGGCCTCTATAAAAGCGAGGCTTACATGTGTGAGGATTGTCAGATTAGTAGACGGAGGACTGAGCCTTCATCACACATTTAGAATAAATAAAAACAACTTCAATACGTGAACAAATGAGAGTGGATAAAGTGGAGTGATGTAATGTTGATAAATTAGACACATGTGCAATACTTGCGTATCTTTATTGTGGAGACGTTTCGCCCCACAGTGACTTCATCAGTCCAATACAGAGAAGAATGGTGATCAAGGTTGATGGACTGGTCGACTCCAGGCTGAGGGACTGATTACTGCGTGTGTGTGTGTGTGTGTGTGTGTGTGTGTGTGTGGTGTGTGTGTGTGTGTGTGTGTGTGTGTGTGTGTGTGTGTGTGTGTGTGTGTGTGTGTGTGTGTGTGTGTGTGTGTGTGTGTGTGTGTGTGTGTGTGGTGTGGTGTGTGTGTGTGTGTGTGTGTGTGTGTGGTGTGTGTGTGGTGTGTGTGTGTGGTTGTGTGGTGTGTGTGTGTGTGTGTGTGTGTGTGGTGTGTGTGTGTGTGTGTGTGTGTGTGTGTGGTGTGTGTGTGAGAGAGAGAGAGAGAGAGGGAGATAGTGCGAGTGTACACTGTCACCTAATTGTGGTTACAGGGGTCGATTCATAGCTCCTGGACCTGCCTCCTCGCTGGTCGCTACTAGGCCCACTCTCTCCTTGCCCCGTGAACTTTATCATACCTCTTCTTAAAGCTATGTATGGTTCCTGCCTCCACTACATCACTTTCCGGACTGTTCCACTTCTTGACAACTCTATGACTGAAGAAATACTTTCTAACATTTCTGTGACTCATCTGAGTCTTCGACTTCCAATTGCGACCCATTGTTGCTGTGTCACATTACTGACACATCCTATCCCTATCCACCGTGTCAATTTCTCTAAGTATTTTACACGTCATTATCATGTCCCCCCATCTCTCCTGTCCTCCAGTGTCGTCAGGTCGATTTCCCTTAAGCTCTCCTCGTAGGACATGCCCCTTAGCTCCGGGACTAGTCGTGTGTGTGCTCACCTATTTGTGGTTGCAGAGATTGATTCATAGCTCCTGGCCCCGCCTCTTCCTTGATCGCTACTGGGTCCTCTCTTACCCTGCTCCATGAGCTTTATCATGTCTTAAAATTGTGTATGGTTCCTGCCTCCACAACATCACTTGCCAGACTATTCCACTTCCTGACAACTCTATTACTAAAGAAATACTTCCTAACATCTGACTCATCTGAGTCTTCAACTTCCAATTGTGACCTCTTGTTTCTGTGTCACATCTCTGGAACATCCTGTCTCTATTCACCTTATCAATTCCTCGCAGTATTTTGTATGTCGTTATCATGTCTCCCCTAACCCTCCTGTCCTCCAGTGTCGTCAGGCCGATTTCCCTTAACCTTTCTTCATGGATCATTTCCCTTAGCTCTGGAACTAGGCTTGTTGCAAACCTTTGCATTTTTCTAATTTCTTGACGTGCTTGACCAGGTGTGGGTTCCAAACTGGTGCTGCATACTCCAGTATGGGCCTGACATACACGGTGTATATAGTCTTGAACGATTCTTTACTGAGGTATCGGAACGCTATTCTCAGGTTTGCCAGGCGCCCGTATGCTGCAGCAGTTATCTGATTGATGTGCGCCTCAGGAGATATGCTCGGTGTTATACTCACCCCAAGATCCTTTTCCTTGAGTGAGGTTTGCAGTTTTTGGCCACCTAGCCTGTACTCTGCCTGTGGTCTTCTTTGCCCTTCCCTAATCTTTATGACTTTGCATTTGGCAGGGTTAAATTCAAGGAGCCAGTTGCTGGACCAGGCCTGCAGCCTATCCAGGCCTCTTTGTAGTCCTGCCTGATCCTCATCCGATTTAATCCTTCTCATTAGCTTCACATCATCTGGGAACAGGGACACTTCTGAGTCTATCCCTTCCGTCATGTCATTCACATATACCAAAAACAGCACTGGTCCTAGGACTGACCCCTGTGGAACCCCGCTCGTCGCAGGCGCCCACTCTGACACCTCGTCACGTACCATGACTCGTTGTTGCCTCCCGGTCAGGTATTC